AAGGTTCCTTGATGTTGGTGAGGGGCTCTTGATTTAGGGAATTGGATCTGTGCTCCAGTTCCCCGAATTAAGCCTGAATACCTTCCACAACCCCCCCCCCCTAGACGCTGTATAATCCTCCGGGTTTAGCGCTTCCCCCTTGATTATAATAATAATTCAAGTCATGGGGGGCCAATATTTTCCCATTCCTTGGATCAAACCTGCTTACCCCATCACTCCCTAGACACTTTACGGCCCCTACAGGTTTAGTGCTTCCTCCTGAATGTAATAATAATAACTAATATTTGCATTTCCAGCAAATTTTTGCGGTATATATATATATTTTTTTTGCGCTAACTGCCAAAACTGAAAAATCAATATTAAGATAAGATTTCGTTCGGATTTTTAACCCCGGAGGGTTAGCCACCCAGGATAACCCAAGAAAGTCAGTACATCATCGAGGACTGTCTAACTTATTTCCATTGGGGTCCTTAATCTTGTCCCCCAGGATGCGACCCACACCAGTCGACTAACACCCAGGTACCTATTTGCTGCTAGGTGAACAGGACAACAGGTGTAAGGAAACGTGTCGAAATGTTTCCACCAGCCTGGAATCGAACCCGGGCCCTCCGTGTGTGAAGCGGAAACTTTAGCCACCAGGCCACCTTATTCTGATCAGAACACTTACTATGGGGTCTCTTCTAGAGTATACGTATATGGTTTTAAAAATCAATGTTACTTTATTTTAAAACCATCTATACATGTACATTAATAAAAGTATTTAATTTAATTTTTTTTATTTTTATTTGAAAATCATATATACATATGTATTAATGAATTTTTTACATAGTTATAACAAATATTTTTTTATTTTATTTGACAAGCATATCTGCATACATATTAAAGTTTTTTATTTATGCTTTGTATATTACTATGTTTTGTATATTATTTAAAAGTAGTATAGTAATTACGTACTAATAACTTGTGTAACATTATATTTCTCATAACCTAATAAAGTCAGTGTGAATTGTTTCCCATTCGGGTCGTATGACATAATAGATTCATACGGTACTGTAATAGGATATCCAGGTAAACTCCAGGTAAACTCCAGATATCTCTTATTAGTCTCCTCATTACTGCTTGGTAGGTTCTTGATCTCAGGATATGGAGCTCCCCTCACCTTCCCCGGAACAGATGTGATTGCCTTTTTTTCCGCAGGTGTTGTAATGTTATTCTTTGAATATAATACAGTGGACCCCCGGTTAACGATATTTTTTCACTCCAGAAGTATGTTCAGGTGCCAGTGCTGACCGAATTTGTTCCCATAAGAAATATTGTGAAGTAGATTAGTCCATTTCAGACCCCCAAACATACCCGTACAAACGCACTTACATAAATACACTTACATAATTGGTCACATTCGGAGGTAATCGTTATGAGGGGGTCCACTGTACTATGTAAGAATAGCACATTTAAGGGGCACGTAACTTCCCCCGTCTTCTAATAACACGTTCATTCTTTATTAAGTTATTGTGAATTAAAATCTTTGAAAATATTTGTCCCTTTTTAATAATCTATTCACACAGATATATAGTTATTTTGACAAATTTGGTTATTTCTTTATTTATAAAGTTTAGTCATCCAATGTTTTAACTACGCGGCAACTGGTGATGAAATTTTATATCCGCAGGTTTTCTGGCAGTGTTCATTTTCTAAGGCTTGGCACATGATCCATAAATTGTGGGGATTGGCACATGATCCATAAATTGTGGGGGTTGGCACATGATCCATAAATTGTGGGGGTTGGCACATGATCCATAAATTGTGGGGGTTGGTACATGACCCATAAATTGTGGAGGTTGGCACATGATCCATAAAATGTGGGGGTTGGTACATGACCCATAAATTGTGGGGGTTGGCACATGACCCATAAATTGTGGGGGTTGGCACATGATCCATAAATTGTGGGGGTTGGCACATGATCAATAAATTGTGGGGGTAGGCACATGATCCATATATTGTGGGGGTTGGTACATGAACTATAAATTGTGGGGGTTGGTACATGATCCATAAATTGTGGGGGTTGGCACATGATCCATAAATTGTGGGGGTTGGCACATGATCCATAAATTGTGGGGGTTGGCACATGATCCATAAATTGTGGGGGTTGGCACATGATCCATAAATTGTGGGGGTTGGCACATGATCCATAAATTGTGGGGGTTGGCACATGATCCATAAATTGTGGGGGTTGGCACATGACCCATAAATTGTGGGGGGTGTTGGGCACATGATCCATAAATTGTGAGGGGTTGGCACATATTATCCATAAAATTGTGGGGATTGGCACATGATCCATAAATTGTGGGGGTTGGCACATGATCCATAAATTGTGGGGGTTGGCACATGATCCATAAATTGTGGGGGTTGGCACATGATCCATAAATTGTGGGGGTTGGCACATGACCCATAAATTGTGGGGGTTGGCACATGATCCATAATTTGTGAGGGTTGGCACATGATCCATAAATTGTGGGGGTTGGCACATGATCCATAAATTGTGAGGGTTGGCACATGATCCATAAATTGTGGGGATTGGCACATGATCCATAAATTGTGGGGGTTGGCACATGATCCATAAATTGTGGGGGTTGGCACATGACCCATAAATTGTGGGGGTTGGCACATGATCCATAAATTGTGGGGGTTGGCACATGATCCATAAATTGTGGGGGTTGGCACATGATCCATAAATTGTGAGGGTTGGCACATGATCCATAAATTGTGGGGGTTGGCACATGATCCATAAATTGTGGGGGTTGGCATATGATCCATAAATTGTGGGGGTTGGCACATGATCCATAAATTGTGGGGGTTGGCACATGATCCATAAATTGTGGGGGTTGGTACATGACCCATAAATTGTGGGGGTTGGCACATGACCCATAAATTGTGGGGGTTGGCACATGATCCATAAATTGTGGGGGTTGGCACATGACCCATAAATTGTGGGGGTTGGCACATGACCCATAAATTGTGGGGGTTGGCACATGATCCATAAATTGTGGGGGTTGCCACATGATCCATAAATTGTGGGGGTTGCCACATGATCCATAAATTGTGGGGGTTGGCACATGATCCATAAATTGTGGAGGTTGGCACATGACCCATAAATTGTGGGGGTTGGTACATGACCCATAAATTGTGGGGGTTGGCACATGATCAATAAATTGTGGGGGTAGGCACATGACCCATATGTTGTGGGGGTTGGTACATGAACTATAAATTGTGGGGGTTGGCACATGATCCTTAAATTGTGGGGGTTGGCACATGACCCATAAATTGTGGGGGTGGCACATGACCCATGAATTGTGGGGGTTGGCACATGACCCATAAATTGTGGGGGTTGGCACATGACCCATAAATTGTGGCGGGTTTCACATGACCCATAAGTTGTGGGGGTTGGCACACGACCCATAAATTGTGAAGGTTGGAACATGGCCCATAATTGTGGAGGTTGGCACATAACCCATAAATTGTGGGGATTGGCACACGACCCATAAATTGTGAAGGTTGGAACATGACCCATAAATTGTGGGGGTTGGTACATGATCCATAAATTGTGGAGCTTGCCACAAAACCCTTAAATTAAAGATAGCCAGTAACATTTCCTCCAAATTGTTCTCTGACCTGTGCATATGGCCCAGGTGTCTTTTTACTCTGGTCAAGGCTGTCAGTATTAAGTAGATTCGAGTGATATGTTAGAGATATGCTCTTGAAAACACAAAATGGACCTAAAGCTTATATTTTTGTATTATTTCTAACTATTAGTTTTGAAGAACCTCTTGGAATGTAAAAACCCCACCCCACCCCACCTGAATTTGTAGAGGTGCAGGTACAAGCAGGCCTTGGTTATACAGCAGGTTAGTTTTCAGGATACTGTAGGGCCCTTCTTATACAGCAGGACAGGTTCCAGGCTACTGTAGGGCCCCGCAAATACAACAGGTTAGGTTCTGGGCTACTCTAGGGCCTCGCTTATACAGCAGGTTAGGTTCTGCGCTACTCTAGGGCCTCGCTTATACAGCAGGATAGGTTCCGGGCTGCTGTAGGGCCTTGCTTATACAGCAGGTTAGGTTCCAGGCTTCTGTAGTGTCTTGCTTATACAGCAGGTTAGGTTCTGAGTTACTGTAGAGCCCTGCTTTTACAACAGGTTAGGTTCCAGGCTACTGTAGGGCCTCTCATATAGAGCAGGTTAGGTTCTGGGCTACTGTAGGGCCTGTCTTATGCAACAGGTTAGGTTCTGGGCTACTGTAGGGCCTCGCTTTTACAGCAAGTTAGGTTCCAGGCAACTGTGGGGCCTCTTATACAGCAGGTTAGGTTCTGGACTACTGTAGGGCATCTCTTATACACCAGGTTAGGTTCTGTGCTATTGTAGAGCCTCTCTTATACAGCAGGTTAGGTTCTGTGCTACTGTAGAACCCTGCTTATACAGCAGGTTAGATTCCAGGCTACTGCTGTTAAGCAAAAATTACTGTAAAGTGAAACAGGCTTTTTTCACTTTCAGATTCATATAAAGCTTGCTAGCATGTTTACACAATCATACAGTATTAAGTGAGCATTATAGCTAGGCCTAAGAAATGCATATACAATACACATATTACTTACATTAAAATATTTTTGTTCTTATAGTCAGTGGTGAATATATTTATTGTAGGAAGTCTGAATAAATAACGAATGGGTATAATTGAAAATCACTGTATTAGTGAAATGCCATACAGCAAAGCATTGTAAAGTGGGGCCCTTCTGTATATTTATTTTGTAATTAGCGTATTTTTGTATTTTTTTTTTCAGATTTTGCTTGGGAGTCAACCCTAATAACCTTCTAATATGAGTAGTGGCGAGAGTGATGATGACTCACTGCAGCTGTCTGCACAGACTATGGGTGCCTTACTGGAGTTCTATAAGGAGCAAGAAGAAAGGGCAGACAAATTACGGCAAATAGAAGAGGGTGACATTCCTGAGTTTTTTGAGGAAAATTGGGTAGGAATACTGTACCATATTCATTTTTTATTGATGTGCATGACAGCTCAGTTTTTTTTTTTGCAGTGCTCATATTATGGTCAGTATTTTAGGTAGGACTTGGGCTAAAATAAAATTAATTAAAAAGCATTCAGTTAAAAATAGGTAAGTTAACAATTCATTTTTAATATTTTTTTTATCAGATAGTGTTCATGTACTACTTTGGACAAACCTAAAATATTCTTGTAGACACAAATTTATCTTTTCATAATAAATTTTAATATAAGGATTCAGTGCATCTGAATGGTATCTTGATTTATCTATTTTATTTCTTTAAAAAAAAAAAAGTTGCTTCAATACATATACATATACCATAGACTTAACAACTATATAAATATAATTAACAAAAAAAAATATTGTGACTACAAAAAGCATATAACAATAGACCCTAGAAGCTTAATTATGCAGGACTGTGTCTAAATGAAGTAGCGTATACTCTTGTGTTTTATTATTATTCTTATTGGAAAATGTCATTTTTTTATATTGCCTTAGGGTACTTTTCTCTTTTACATTTGTTTAACCCTTAAACGGTCCAAACGTATATATACGTTTTTTCAACATCTGAAAGTATGTAAAAAAATGTAGATCTTTTTTGTTTTACATTTGAAAACGTGTAAAATAAACTTTTATCTACATTTTTTTTTGTTATATTTGAAAATATGTGAAAAAACAGTAGATCTACTTTTGTAGCAATACGAATTTGAACGTCGATCTGTTTGGACCGTTTAAGGGTTAATAATGAGTAATTTACTCTAATAATGCCTCATAAAATCGTAATGACATGATTGCAAACAAACCATGGAATAGGTGGGGTTTGAACCCATGGCAAGAGAGTCCTGGGGTTTTAGGATTCACTCACCTTGGGTTCAAACCCCACCGTGGCCTGATCGCTAAAGTTCTCACTTCACACGGCGAGGGTCTGTGTTCGATTCCCAGCGAGGGTAGAAACATTGGGCGTGTTTCTTTACACGGGTTGTCTATGTTCACCCATCAGTAAAATGGGTACCTGGGTGTTAGTCGACTGGTGTGGGTCACATCCTGCGACAAAGACCTAATTGCATAACATGGGACTTTCTGTGTAGTAGTATGTCATTGATGTCAGCTAGGCCTGTATACCATGTACATGTAGTAAATAATGATATTATTATTATTGTTATTATTATAGTTCTGTGGTTTGCTTACTCTAATAATGGTTACCTTATCCTGGAAGCTTGATTAACTAGTGCTTGTTTATGTGTAGTATATCATGATCAACTGCCTGGAAAAACCTGTATGTGTACCACAGAAGTACAGTAGAGCCCCCCCTGTATCCATGGATCTGGTATCCACAAGTTCTGTTACCCATCGTTTACAGTGGCCCAAAAATAACCCTTAATTTTGCTTAATAATCGTCCCAAAGTGCAAAAATAGTAATGGTGGCAGTTTTTCAGAGCCTAAGAGAAGCCCTGAAATGCTTCCCATCAGTGAAAAAGTGCTAATTTTAGACTTTCTTTGCATAATTTATCAATTAAACTTTATAAAATAATGGCTTGTATATAGGATTCGCTATTATCCATAGTTTCAGGTATCCACAGCAGGTCTTGGAAAGTATCCCCCGTGGATACAGGGGTCCTACTGTACAAGATATTCAGTGCTTAGTTTTCCAGCTCACTGCTAGAACACAGGAGACCAGAACATGCCTGCTACCCATGTGTTTAATTCTCCCTTGCTCTCTGTGTCTTTCCTATCCTGTTTCTCTTTTTGCAGATTACTAGCAACATCATGTGGTTAGTCTCAGTTTTTACTTATAACTACCCAGACACACACAACCCACACATAGCAGAATGAAATTTAAGATAATGTTTTGGTCCAAGTTGGACCATTAACTAGTCACACACAAGCGTGAAAGGAAGGAAGCCAGTATATATATACGAGAGGGGGGAGGCCAAGAGAAGAATGGTATTGTGCCTTTTTATGCTTGGTAACTACCCAGGTTAATAGGTGAAGGTTTTGTCCCAAACTGCTGTAAGGGCCTAGTTACAGTTACTAACCTGACAAGTGTGTGTCCTACTTTCAGGAGGCTGAAGGATCATGACTGTGTGCCTCAGGCTTGCCCCATTCTCTCAAGGTTCTATATATTACATGCCCTTAAAGCCTCACCTGTTACTTTCCACATAATCCAAGACTCCAGTGGTATGGGCAGCTTTCTTTAGCACGATCTCTTTATTCCCTTGGAGGTGATCAAATTAATCTTAAAGCATGCAATCCTACTTTGTTACCCCCTTCTATACCTATCACTGTCCATGACTTCCTTCTTATGTTGGCCATACTTAACCTCAGACTAACCTCTTGCCCACACCCTGTAGTGCCTCTGTATTCTTCATTTGTTTTATACTGGTATATTTATTTTTTCACACTTTTGTGAGGCACTGGTATGTATCTTTTTGTTGTATGTATGTGTTTATGACAGGAAGGAGCTTGGACATCCAACAGGCATGTGTGAGCATGTTAGAGGATTAAGTGTAGGCAAGTGCTTTTTATGACTTGATGTGCTGTTGGAGTGTGAGTAAGGTAACATTTATGAAGGGATTGAGGAATACTGATTAGCTGAATTTGAGTTCTGGAGGTGGGAAGTACAGTGCCTGCACTTCGAAGGAGGGGTGAGGATATTTCAGTTTGGAGGGGCACACCTCTGACAAGACAGTGATGGAGCGAGTGATGGCCAAAGCGTTTCTTCTTTTGTCGGGTCACCCAGCCTCGGTGGGAGTTGGCTGGTATGTTAAAAAACCTATTACAGTTCTTTGAAAACAAATACAATATGGTACCAGTAGTTCATAGTACACTATTGCAGTAGTTCACTTTAAACCCAAGAAAAATATATTCTCACAACATTGGAACCCAGATTAATTAAGTAGGGTTGGTGGAATAATAAAACGCTACAAATATTTTTAACATAATACAATCAGTGAAAAATTAACTGTCCTTTGAACAAGTCTTAAACTCCAATCCTGACAAAATTATGACAGTAGGTATTATCCTTGACTTCTGCTCTGGCATTCCCAGTGTTGTTAGTACAATACCTTGGCACTGGCATTATATTTTTCACAGTTCAAAGAGCATTGGGTATGTGGTCGTGTTGCAGTCACTCACGATAACACTTTTGTTACCAGAAGAGGTGACACCTTGGCTAATTTGTGACCTACTGCAAACAGAACCACTTGTCTCTCTCCACTCCTCAGGAAAAGATGGGTACATATATACCTGACCTCACATGCTTCTGCTTCCTGATCAACAGATAATAAGTCATCACGCTAAGATAACACTTACTTTTTTATTTGTCATGGTGTTCTACTATGTCAGCATTTATGATACAGTACACTGGAACCTCAGTACTCGAACAGCTTCTTACTTGAACAAAGCTCAGCACTCGACCACCACTGTAAACTGTCTCGTGTTTCTTCTCAATTTTTGGTGTTTTTTTTTTTCATATTATTTGTATAAATAAGCCACCATGGGGCTTACAAAGATTAGAAATAACAGCCAACCAAAGAGAAAATTGGTTGGGAAGAATTCGTTCGATACTCGAATCAATTGGCACTAGAACAGCCTCGTGGACTGAATTAAGCTTGAGTACTGAGGTTCCAGTGTATTTGTTGATTATTTTAATACAGGTCAACTGAAGGGGGCAAGGGGCTAGTAACCCCTTCTCCTCTATACAGTACTAAAGTTAAAAAGAGAAACTTTTGTTTTTCTTTTTGGGCCACCCTGCTTTGGTGGGACACGGCCGGTCTTGTAGCCAAGTGTACACAGTACCGTTCTAACATTGACCTTCCAGTAACTAAATTGTGAGGATTTATACACAAATAACCAGTACATAGGAGAGAGAAAAGCTTACGTTGACGTTTTGGTCTGACTTGGACCATTTACAAAGTCGTGGAGTATGACTTTGTAAATGGTTTAAGTTGGACCGAAATGTCATTGTAAGCTTTCTCTCCTATGTGTGAGTTATTTGTGTATTGTTCCAGTCACAGGATTGTGCCTTTTTGTTCATTGTGAGGATTTATTGTGATTGTATGTATCTTACATCAAAATTTGTATTTATTTGAATGTTTACATTTCAAGAACCTTTTTTTTTTCTAGAATATGAGTCAGTTTTGGTATTCAGAAGAGACTGCAAAAAGTTTAGCAGAAGAGTGTTTAAGGGCTGCAGGTAATCATGGCTCCATTGCTTGTGTTTCCTCTCCAACACTTTATAGAATGCTGAAGAAAATGGATCACAACTGCTCAAGTAAGCCCCCATATGTTATGTTACCATGGTCTTTAGAATTTTAATTTGAGTACAGCCTCTCCTCACTAACGACGGAGTTCCGTTCCTAAGACCACGTCGATAAACGAATTCGTTGCTAAGCAAGGAGCATACTAAAATGGTAGTGGGTTTGTGTCAACCATCTTTGGTATTGTTTTAATGTCACCTTTGCACCATTTATAACATTTTTAGTATATTTTTAAAAGTTTGTACAGTAATGTACTGTATATTGTAATAAACAGAATAGAGGAAATCATATCTAATATACGTACACTACAGTATTTGGGTATGCATACTGATCGGAGAGCCCGTTGTAAGTCCGAGTCATAGGTAAACGAGTACGTCGCTAAGGGAGGAGAAGCTGTATATGCAACCTTGCTTTAAATAAAAAAAATAAATATCCAGATGAGGGTGTTAGAGAGAGAGAGAGAAAGTTTTAGAGAAACATTTACTGTCTCTAAATTTTAGCCAATATTTTTTGACAAAACCCATTGGTAAGACGAGAAGAATCCTTCCTCCATAAGTTATACATATAAGAGGCAACTAAAATTCCAGGCTAGTAATCCCTTCTGTATAAATTACTAAATGTATAAAGAAGAAAACCTTTTATTTCTTCTTTTTATGAGCCATCCTGCCTCGGTGGGAAACAGCCGATGTGTTGAATTTTTTTTTTTTTTTTACAAAAGAAGTTAAAAAGTTTGAGGACTTACAGTTCACAACACAGGTCACTATATACTGTAGTAAAAGTTTTCTGGTCTTTTGAAGGTACACAGTAGACACATTTTTTTGCTCCTCATTATGGAAGAGTAGCCTGAATTCTCTCTCTCAATGCACTGACTGTATCCCACTGAGGCAGGGTAACCTAAAAAGAGACACCAAAGTTTTTCTTTTTAAATTTAGTAATTTTTACAGAAGGGGTTACTAGCCCCATGCTCTTGGCATTTTAGTTACCTCTTATGACACGCGTGGCTTATAGAGGAAGAATTCTGTTCCACTACCCTTTGGAGAGTAACCTGAATATTTTATATAATTTAGAAAGGCTGTTATTACATTCTTTATAAACTTTATAAATACGTATCATGCTAGTGTAGTAAGTCACTTCTTATAGATCAGTTGCTTAAAGAAACATTCACAAATTGTTTCATGGACAAATACTAGATTTCAATTTTCCAGATTTCTTTCATGACTTGGCCCCTACACAGCAAAAGATTAATTCAACAAAAATATAGACCCGGGTTTAGGATTTATAGGCAGTTAGAAGTGGCATTCTCCAGTAATTGCACAGAAACCAATTTGTTTTTTGATAAAAATTATTAACTTAAAACATATATAGCCCAAAACCAGTGTGATCATTCCTTTGAGTACATTCTACCATCACTGAAAGTTTGATACCAATCAAATAATTACCAAGTTCATTAATAATGTTAGTACATATATTGTGAAGTTTTTATCTATACAGCCTACACTTACATAATGCCATTTTGTCCATAAAATTCATCAGCCATTAAAGATTGCAGGCATTCATTAGAGAAATACAGATTTATTTAATGGAACAAATGCACCATTTTAGTGAAAAGAGGTTTTTTCAAGTTATTCTATGAAAACTAAAATCAGAAATGGTTTACTGTGTATAAAATTGACCAAAGGCCATCTACACATGCTAATAATTGCATGAGCTTTTTCTAGCTACAGTAAACCGGTGTTGATAATTTGAAGCTTGTACAAGAATGGTATACAATACCGACAAGATGAAATTAAGAAACGTGCAACATCTGGATATCTTTATTGTAGACGTTTCGTCATCCAGTGGCTTTATCAATGCAAATCCCAGGACATAACTTGAAGATAGTAGAACTATGTACAGAAGATGAGGTAATCAGTCCCTCAACCTAGGAGTAGGTGCGAAGAGCACCATAGTCTAGGAGATTCTGAATCAGAATCTCCTAGACTATGGTGCTCTTCGCACCTACTCCTAGGTTGAGGGACTGATTACCTCATCTTCTGTACATAGTTCTACTATCTTCAAGTTATGTCCTGGAATTTGTACTGATAAAGCCACTGGATGGCGGAACGTCTACAATAAAGATACCCAGATGTTGCACATGTGTCTTAATCTCAATTTGAAGCTTGTTGGATGAATCAATCTCAATCGCAATGAAGTCTTAATGTGTGTGCAATAGCGCAAATTTTGATTTAGTGCAAAATTAATTAATGCTAGTTTTTCCCCAAACTCTTTAGATTATGCACAGAAATCACATATAATTTGAAAAATGCAAATTTGAATAATATGACTACTTCACAGGATTCATAATTTGCACTAATCAAAACTTAGCTATATAAACAAAAAAGTTGGAGGAACAAGATTTTTTTTCAACCAGTTGTAGTTACTTATTTCAGTATACAGCATCTAATAATACTGTAACAGTCTAGTGAAGAGGATCTCCATCTAGGATCAAAATGTACATATGTTTATAAATGTATTTTATTTTTCAGTTCAAGTGATTACCTGCCTTTGCAAGGGCACAGGTTAATACTGTTTTCATATCTCCTCATTGGGTAAAACTTAAAATGTTGATGATAATGTCACATTTCTTTTCTTTTCAGTAAAACTTTTGGAATACGATACAAGATTTGCTGTCTTCAAGGATGATTTTATTTTATATGACTTTAAAGATCCTTTAGGAATTCCTCGAGAGTTATTTGAAAATTTTGACGTTATTGTAGCTGATCCTCCATACCTTTCTGAAGACTGTTTCACTAAAACTGCTGCTACTGTAAAATATTTAATGAAGCCTAATGCCAAAATTATTGTATGTACCGGGTCAGTAATGGAGGAACTAGCAGGGCGGTTATTAGGAGTAACTAAGTGTCGATTTAAAATTGAGCATGTTAATAGTCTTAGTAACCCTTTTTTGTGCTATGCAAACTATAACCTTGATCATTATAAAAGTTGATTTTAGAATTAACAATTAAATTTCTTCTCTGTTGCTAAAAACAATCAAAGCTGATGATGCATCTTATTTCAGTTTTGAATTTTATTGATTTTATATCAATCATTTAGTTTTTAAGTTATTATAGCCTGAACACCAGCTGCGTTAAAAACACTTGTGTTGTATCTGAATATAATTGGTCCTCTGCTATAAAAATAATTAATAATTTTGCTGTTTAAGTCTTATACACAGAAAGCTTCAGTGTTCTTTAACTTCTTGAAACTCCTAATTTCAAATTACAGTACAGTGGACCCTCGACTAACGATATTAATTGGTACCCGAGAACGAATGTCGTTAGTTGAGTTTTTTTATCGTTAGTCGAGACAACATGTTAGCGTTAACATGTATTGTTAGTCGAATTTAACGTTAGACAATGCCATTGTTGGTCGAGGATCCACTGTATACGACTTTATAAATGATTTGTTGATATAGGTTGATTTATGTGATCATTTTTTATTATAAAATGATCACTTTCTTCTTGAGTGACATTAATATATGTGGCTGTAAGGTCCTTCACTCTGGCTGTTGGGTTTTTGATGTACCACTGTACTGCCTTCCTCGTCCTAATGTATTCATTTCTGGTCCTTCCGCTGAACTGAATTCAAGACTCACAAGAAAGACCAACTAGGGGTGAGGGGATTATTAATATTATTATTATAATCAAAAGGAAGCGCTAAACCTACCAGGGTCATAAAGCTCTGCAGTATCTAAGGATAAATAAGGGTAAAGATGACAATAAAGGTAAAGTTAGGTGGGGCTGTGAGGAGTGCTAAAGGAAGGATTATCAAAGTGTGTGTAATAAATCAGTTACTGTCAAAAAGTCGAAGAGGGAGTCTGTATCAAAGGTGAGTCCATCAGCAAGGAGGGAAAATAAAGTAAGGGCATTAGAGCGGTGACGGCATTGGAGGAAAATTCTGCGTGCTCGTTGATAGACAGGACAGTCCAATAGAATATGGGAAATTGAAACAAAAAACTAGACAATTCTCACAAAGTGGAACAGGATGCCTCTCCATGAAATATCCGTGAGTTAGACGAATGTGTCTGAGGCAAAGACGAGTGTGTGTTGTCTCCAAGCCTCGGTATTGATGACAAGAAGAAGACCAGAAACCCAAACTTGGTTTGATAGAATGTAATTTGCTATGACTCATATCAGACCAACATTGTTGTGAAGGTGGGTAGAGATTACAGCAAAATAGTCAGAGAATGGAATATCTCTATAACTGGTAGGTCATGTACTGCATATTGCACAGCAGTCTGCCTGCTCATTGCCCAGAACATCAACATGACCAGAGACCCAACAGAAAACTATTTCTTTTTTTTTTTGCTAGTAATGCGGTGTACCCAAAGTTGTACGTATATGAAGAACTAGGGAATGAAGTGAATCAAATTTGTTAACAGCTTGCAAAACACTAAAGGAGTCTGAGACGATTACAAACTTTGAAGTAGGCATAGATGCAGTATGAATAATTGCAATGAGAATAGCATACAATTCAACTGTAAAAATGCTAGGGAAAAGTGGAGACAGATGAAGAATAACTCTTAAGAGGAATGTCTTGAGTTGTAGAAAAAGATCCAGGGCTAAACCCAGCTGCAGAGCATTGTAAGACAGATGTAGAACAAAGGACACTTGCTGAGCTTGCTGACAGTAGCCTTGAGTATATCTTGGTGATGTAGAGTTGGGTGGCAGGCAGGTAGGATCACAGGAAAAAAGGCAGCTTCAAGATGATAAATGTGACGATTTACAGCAGTTTGTCAGTAAAGGTTCCGTCTTTTATTTTCTTGAATCTTGATTTTAAAATGTGGAATTCCTCCTGCTCTACAGTTGCATATGTTTGATTACCTACATGTAGCTACAGAACTATTATTTTTATATTTATGGAGCCACTCCATGGGAAAGTGGAGAAGAATCCTTTGCTGTGTAAGCCATGCATATCATAAGAGGCGACTAAAATGCCGGGAGCAAGGGGCTAGTAACCCCTTCTCCTGTATAAATTACTAGATGTAAAAGGAAGAAAAGAAAAACTTTATCAAGTTTTCTTGTTTGTTGGGTCACTCTGCCTCTGTGGGAAATGTCTGACTCTTGCTCAGCAGATGAAGGATCAAGCCTCCACATCATGTTCTGAATGACCCTAATGGGTTCAGTGCTTAATATGAATTAAATAATAAAAAAATCTGTACTGTTTACCAAAAATTTTTTGCCCCTTCAAGGAAGGTCCCTTGATGTTGACAAGTGCTCTTGCTTTGAGGAACTGAAGCTAACCTTGGATGAAACTTGATGACCTGTACAGGTTTAGCACTTCCCTATAAATATAACATAGTATGCAAATCAGACTATGCATTCAGATATTCTTGATGCATTTTCTTTTTCTCATGAAAGTGATCTTTCAAGGCCAAATATTGCATTATCAAAAAAGTTCTGAAGGTAATAGCAACAATGGCTCCTCCTGACCCAAGGAATTGGTCCTGTCCTCCCTTTGGATCAAACCAGGTTCTCCCATTATCTTAGGTGCTGTATGATCAAGAGTCTCACTAGCATCAAGGAACCTCCCTCAGTGGTCAGTCGTCAGTACTCAGTGGTCAGTCGTCAGTACTCAGTGGTCAGTCGTCAGAGTACTCAGTGGTCAGTCGTCAGTACTCAGTGGTCAGTCGCCAGTACTCAGTGGTCAGTCGTCACGTGAGGTCACAGACCCTGAGCTGCCTTGGGGATTAGTGTGGACGGTTACAAAGCATGGCTTGCTTCTGCAGTGTTTTAAAAATTGGGGTTGGAGAGTTGAAGGAGGAGGTCTTGCTTCTCCAGGAGGAGATTAGGAGGCTGAAGGTCCACCTCAATGGGTCTGGGAGAGAGTGTGAGGTGGCTGGAGTTGTGGGGAATGAGGCTTCTAGCAGCGAGGTGCAGTCTGTCTCTCGCTGTGAGGAGGCTGTAGTTGGGGTGGCAGCAACGGCTACCAGCAGTGAGGTGCAGCCCAGCACCTGCTACAAGTGGCGAGTAGTTCACAGTAATGGAAGGCGCATCAGAGTAAGGAAAGTTAAGAGTGAAGATCTGAAGGTAGGAAATCGCTTCTCTGTTCTTCAGGATGAATGTACTTCAGTGGCCAGTGAAGGTAAGGGTACTACTGCCCCTGCTAATGGAGGTAAGCGCATTCTTGTGGTTGGTGACTCTCAGGTAAGATACATTGACCGTGCTTTTTGTAATAGGAATAAGAAGATGAGAGATAGAGTGTGCTTCCCTGGAGCTGGTGTTGGGGACATTGTCAACAGGCTGGATAATATCATGTCAGGTAATGGGAGCAAGCCCATTATCTGTCTCAGTGCTGGTGGAAATGATATTGGGAAGGGTAGGAGAGAAGAGCTGCTAGATAAGTACAGGTCAGCTATTGATTTCATTAAGTCTAAGGGAGGGATCCCAATCATATGTAGCATCTTGCCTAGAAGGGGAGTAGGAAATGAATGGTTGTCTAGGGCAATTGGTGTAAATTGCTGGCTAGACAGATACTGCAAGGAACATGCAATCCCATTCATTGACAACTGGAACAACTTTTATGGCAAACATGATATGTATGCAAGGGATGGGGTACATCTCTCTGGGGCTGGGGTGGTAGCACTTGCAGACTCGATTGAGAAGGCCATTGGTGAAATGCCTATGATTTTAAACTGATGGAAGATAGAGGTATGGGTGTGTGTGGGAAACAAGCAGGCTGCAACACTTGGGTTGGAAACAGTAAATGTATAAAAGGCATTCAGCATGAAGTTATAAAGACAATAGATCAGGTCAGCAAACAAAGGGGGACAGCAGAGGGCAGCAAGGGACTAGCTCCCTTAAGGTTTACTATACTAATAGCAGGAGTGTAAGAAATAAGATAGATGAGCTAAGATTAATTGCAAGTGCAGGAGACATAGATATTATTGCTATAACAGAGACCTGGCTCAATCTGAAAGATAGAGAGATGCCCTCTGAATGTCACATACAAGGCTATAAATTATTCCACACTGACAGGGTCAACAGGAAAGGTGGTGGAGTAGCGATGTATGTCAGAGACAATTTAAATTGTTGTGTTAGACAAGATATTAAATTAGAAGCGTCAGCCACTGAATCTGTTTGGTTACAGCTTCTCGAGGGCCGAGAAAAACTAATTTTGGGTGTGATTTACAGGGCCCCAAATCTTGATAGGGAGTGCAGTAAACTTCTATGGGACGAAATTCGTAAGGCATCTACATACGAAAATGTTGTGCTAATGGGAGATTTCAACTATAGACAGATTGACTGGAGCAATTTGACAGGAAATTTAGAGTCAGGTGACTTTCTTGATACGATCCAGGATTGTTTTTTAAAACAGTTTGTGACAGAGCCAACTAGGGGAAATAACCTCCTTGACTTGGTTCTTGCCAGTAGGGAAACACTAATTAATAATCTTGAGGTTAATGATGAGCTTGGGGAAAGTGATCACAAATCACTCAGTTTTAATATATCATGGAATTCCCCTAATAATGGCAATCAAGTCTCCGTCCCTGACTTTCGCTTGGCTGATTTCATAGGACTGAAAAATTACTTAGGTGGGCTGAACTGGAATGACCTGACTAAGGGTCAGGTAGGTGGTGATGGATGCCGATATGATGCTTTCCAGGGCATAGTTCTAGCTGCTCAGTCAAATTATGTTCCAAATAGGGAAATCAGATCAAACAAAAATGATCCTAAATGGATGAACAATAGATTAAAATATCTGATTGGTCAAAAGAGAGGCATATATAGGCAAATCAAAAGAGGAGAGGGGCAATTGAGAAATCGATATATTCAGTTAAAGAGAGAAATAAAAAAGGGAATTAGAAAAGCAAAAAGAGATTATGAGGTTAAAGTTGCAAGAGAATCGAAGACTAACCCAAAAGGATTCTTTCAGGTATACAGAAGTAAGATCAGGGACAAGATAGGCCCACTCAAAAGTTCCTGGGTCAGCTCACTGACAGTGATAAGGAAATGTGTAGAATTTTTAACACATACTTCCTCTCAGTTTTTACACAGGAGGATACCAGCGATATTCCAGTAATGATAAATTATGTAGAACAGGACGATAATAAACTGTGTACTATTAGGGTCACAAGTGACATGGTCCTTAGGCAAATAGATAAATTAAAACCTAACAAATCCCCAGGCCCTGATGAACTGTATGCAAGG